GCCGTGCGCGGGCTGTGACCCTCTCGCGGTCGGCCGCTCGGCGCGCGTCTCCGTCCCCAGCCGCGTGTCTGCGGGGCGCAGCGGTCGCCGCGCTGTTGTTACGCGGGTCGGCTGTGTCCTCCCGCCTGGATCCTCGCGGGGCTCCTGGGGGCCGTAGGACAAGTCCTGCGTGACCCGGAGCCCCCACTCGCCCGGCGCCTGCGACCGGGCCCCCGCACTGCTGCTCGGTTGTCCTTCGGCTTTTCTAGACGGCCAGGCGGGGAGTTGTCCTGCCGTTGCTGTCACCTGTGTTTTGTACTTTGTTGGTGCCTTTTTTTGCAAGCATCAGCCGGGGTCGGCTAGGGACAGCGTCCAGCCCACAGCCGTGCAGGGCCAGGGCCAGGGCCCGTGAATGGGCAGTATGTGGCCGGTCAGACTGCTGGGAGAAGCGGCTTCTAGGGAGATTCGATGGGATTTTGAAGGGCAGTGGGCTCCATGGGGGGCGTGCCCAGTGCCTGTCCAGGGGGCGGTGGCAGCAGGTGCTGGACAGGGCGGTGTGCTAGTTCTGGGGTCAGGAGGACAGGTGGACCTTGCCTGGAGTAAGGCGGCTGTGGGCCGGGCTGAGTAATCCGCGCACTGACCTGGTCGTTGTTGGGTCGTTGTTGGGGCGCACCCAGACGCATCTGAAGCGTCTAGTCCCCCCTGCCTGCCCAGCAGGTTTCCCAGATGACACTGGATCCCTTGAAGGGAGGGCCCCGACAGCTCTTGTAAGCACTGGCTTTTCAAGAATGAGGGTGTGCCTGTGGCCAGTTGGCGGTCGTCTGGTCCTCCCTCCCAGGGACTCTGGCCTCGGCAGGCGCGTGCTAGGTTCTCACTCCAACTGCCGCCACCCTTTCTTGCAGAATTACCCCCTTTACATCCGCAGCGTCCCCACGGAGAACGAGTTGAAGTTCCACTACATGGTGCACACGTCCCTGGATGTGGTGGATGAGAAGATCTCGGCCATGGGCAAGGCCCTGGTGGACCAGCGGGAGCTCTATCTGGGCCTGCTGTACCCCACAGAGGACTACAAGGTGTATCCTTCAGGGGCGGGCTCTCCCAGCGGGCCTCTGCGTCTGCACGAGGGTGGTGAGTGCCGGGCTGCTGGGTTTCGGCTGGGTGGCCTCTCGGTGCAGTCCCTCTGAGCGCCGCGAGCTGTGTGTAGGCCCAGGAGCTGCCCAGAAAACACGCAGGCTCACCCACGGAGCCTGGCAGGGTCGCGGAGTCCTGTTTCTTGGGTCGGCTGGTCGGGCGCTGCCGTGTGCTCCCTGACCCGCTGTGCAGCTACGGCTACGTGACCAACTCCAAGGTGAAGTTCGTCATGGTGGTGGACTCTTCCAACACGGCCCTGCGGGACAACGAGATCCGCAGCGTGAGTGCTGGGCCCTGCGGCCGGCCCTGGCGGCCACTTTTCCTCTCACCCTGTGATGGTGGGTGAGGTGTCGGCGTGAAACCCCAGGGTGCGGGGTCTCATTGCAGATGTTCCGGAAGCTGCACGCCTCCTACACGGACGTGATGTGTAACCCCTTCTACAACCCGGGGGACCGCATCCAGTCCAGGTGGGCCCCGCGGCCCCGCAGGTCTCCCCGAGGGTGCTGCTCCCTGGGCGGGACTCAGGCGCTGGGCCCTGGCCTCGGGACAGCTCTCCCTGGGGCTCTGCAGCTGCGGCATGGGGGCAGCGTGCGCCCACGTGGTTCCCCAGGTGTGCTGGGCAGGGCCCGGCGCCTCCACAGGACCCAGTGAGGCCGGGGGGAGGACGGATGTTCAGCGAAGTGGCTGCCCCGCGGTGTGTGACATCGGCCCGGCTGCAGCCCCCGCCCAGCTTTCAGATAAGCACGTTAGAATGTCACTGACTCTCCTGGGAGGTCCCTGACCCTTTCCCAGGGCTTCTGTGGGCAGCAGGGGACACGCAGCACCCAAGCCAGGCCCCTGTCGTGGTCTCCAGCTGTGGCTGTGTCTTGGGCCTTCTGGGGGTGCCAGGTGCAAAGCCCCCAGTCTCAGCCTCGCAGGGCAGGAGACCAGCCAGGAACAGCAGCCGGGGGGCCAGACTGGTGGGGAGATGGGCGCTGGCCTCTGCGCCTCCCTGCTGACCGGCTGCCTCCCCCGCAGGGCCTTCGACAGCATGGTGACGTCCATGATGATACAGGTCTGTTGAGGAGAGAAGCGTCTGTACATACCGTGGCATTTACCCTCCTCTATTTATCGTCCGCGTGTCTCCCTG